CTCTCTCTCTCTCTCTCTCTCTCTCTCTCTCTCTCTCTCTCTCTCTCTCTCTCTCTCTCTCTCTCTCTCTCTCTCTCTCTCTCTCTCGTTGTGTTATTTCAGTACAGCAAACATTGTTAAACACCAAGGTGCCATTTCTGGTGACATAAATAGCCTTATTTTCACTTCGCTAACTATAATCAGCTAAACCTCTGGCAAATGTAAGCCAATTATCTCACAGAAAACTAATTCAATTAAACAATTACTTCACAAAAGAGTTATTAAAAGATTTTTGAGAAAAATTGTTTGAGAGGAACAGAAGTGTGAAAATTTTGATTTATTACAAGAAAAGTAATAAATTTTAGTTTTGTTTAATTGAAGACAATATGATTTTCTCGCCAAATAAGCCTAAAATACATTAATCTAATTGAAGGCCAATAGAAGTAAACACTTTTCCCTAAAATCAATGAATGGCGAGAAATGTTATTTGTTTTCATCTAATTGTTACCAAGAATTTGGTTTTCAATACTTTTTTTGTTGCCAAAAAATTCAAAGACATTCACAGAAAACAAAAATCAATTAAATAGTGTCTGGAATTTGGTTTACGATGCAAAATATGATAAATTTTCTTTTATAATTAAATCATTGATGAATTTGTTGCTAAAATTTTAACTAAAAAGGTTATTTCAAAAAATATTTATATAACAATGTCGTTTATGTTTCCTATTTGTTGTCTAATTAAAACACATAAATCACATATTTATTGAATAATCATTATATATATATTACACTTTTGAATTAAACACTGAAATATTTTGATAAATATGAACAAAATTAATTTATACAATTTAAATAATATTCAATTTAATCATTAATAATTACTAATTTTTTAAGAAACAAAATGATGGATTTGAAACTAATAATCTCTGTTAAAAATATTTCTCAATTAATTTAATGATTTCTTGAATTAAATAATTTTTAATGAATTGAAATTATATTATCTTTTAATTAAGTGTTGCTTTCAATGGTCAACAAAAGCCCAATCAATACGAGACCAATGAATAGTTGTGTGAATTTCATTGTTATATTTAGATAACAATAGGTATTAATATTGAGATGACAGTAGACTTTGGGATACAATATTAAATATTCATTATATGTATTACGAGTCACGGGAATAGAATATTCTGTATTTATTAGGAATCTTATTAAGTATATATCGTTTAAGTTATTTTTATCAACAATTTAATAACACAAGTGATTGCAAGTAAAGTCAAACGCATAATGTGTTTAACAATAAGTTATTCATAATTATAAAACAATGATTGCATTTAAGTATCGCATTACTATAACTATAAAACATGATTGAAATTTTTATATAATGACTGCAATATACGATATGATTCACTACAATATTATCTGTTAATAACGTATGGATTTATATATTATATCTATTGATCGGCTGTTTATAAACTCATCGCACAATTTGAGAAAGTTATGCCAATTATGTATTGACTTTTAATTGGCTATTCATTCAATAGTTGTAATTATTTAATAACTTAATAGTAAAAAATGTAACAAAATATTTGTGATATGATTTTCAATGTACTGTAAAGTATACTGTACATAAAATTAATTAAATGTTAATTAGTTTTAATTTAATTAAAAAGCACTTTTAAGTAAATGCAAGATTTCGTAAATAGTTATTTTGCAGATTTATAAGCTGCACATACTTTACAAGCTGTACATACTGTACAAGCTATACATACTTAGCTATCAAATAAAGCTGCTACAAAGGTGATTTATTGTGTGATACCGTAAATTGGATTACATATTTTAATTAAACTAATTATTAAAGTTAATAGCTGTCAATTTTTAATACAGAGTATATTTGCCTAATATATGCACTTTTGCTTTACACTTCACTAACACTATCAGTAAACTGATGTTATAAAATGACCTATGTCATTTTGACTATAGCACTGATTAATCAAATCCATTAAAAGTTGATTATAAATTAAAACACATCTTATTTGTGTATTTGAAAACAAAGTTAAGATAAGTCTACATTATTTAAATTTGCGTTATATCCTATTTCCTTCGTTTGTGTGTTTATTTAATTGCATTATAAAAACCAAAAAAAATTACAAAATATTTAAAAAATACTCCAAAAAAATTATAAAACAATTCAAAAATTGTATTAAAAAGTGCCGAATTAGTAATAACTGATAGTTTTTTTAAATTTTAGTTTGTGATAACAATAATGTGATTGAAATAAATTAAACATACTTTTAGTTTTGATATTTTACAATTACATGATAAATAACATTATATAAAGAACAGTATATCCCTATTAATGTTAATTTACTTTGATAAATTACATTGGTACAATAATATATTTTACAATGATTCTTTAATTTAAGTTTTAACAAAAGATTCATCAATAGATTTGTTTGTAAACTTAAATTATTATATTTGGCATAAACATCACTATTTGATTAGTTTTTTTGTTACTGAATTTATTTTAAATAACCATATATTTATTTTTAAGTCAAATAAATAAGTCTTTATATTTAAAATAACTATATTTTTATTAAAATTAAGAAACAGAGAGAGAGAGAGAGAGAGTACTTAAATTATTATATTTGGCATAAACATCACTATTTGATTAGTTTTTTTTGTTACTGAATTTATTTTAAATAACCATATATTTATTTTTAAGTCAAATAAATAAGTCTTTATATTTAAAATAACTATATTTTTATTAAAATTAAGAAACAGAGAGAGAGAGAGAGAGAGTCGCTTGTAAAATAATTACATAATTATTTGTTTTAACCAGATATAATTTTAATCAGATACTGTACTGTTATTAAATGATAAATACAGTAATTCGTAATAAATTACATTTTTATGTAAAAATAATTATAATATTTACAAACTGTAAATAATTAATTCAGCCAATATGAGTGCAATATATGCATTTTCATAGCACTTACAATCAACTATCAGTGAATATGATGTTATGGATGACATGTTATGGTCATTGCCAACTATAGCGCTGATTAATCAAACCAAAAATAAATAAGATATTTGGATACATAATAATGCACCGAACCTTTCCTTTCCCTTCTTCGTGTTCTGCATTCCAAAAACCCAAAAAAATCATAAAATTTCATAAAATACAAAAAAATCATAAAAAATAAAAATTGAATTAAAAAGTGCCGAATGAAAAATATATTCACTGATATTTTTTTTTTAATTTAGTAATTTATCATTAAGTTATAGTATCTATGAATAACAATTAATTGTAAAGTAACTTTATATAATTTGTTAAAATCATACACACTTATACATACAATTAACTTATACACAAGTAACTTATTAAATCACTTATTATACCAATTATTAACCAATAAATAATGATATAGATGTAAAGAATTTGATGCTAGAAATAGATGTTTAAATGAATTAATAAAATATAAATACAGATATGATTTATTGTATATATAAATTATTTTATTATTAAAATATTAGTTATGAAAATATATGATAACATCATTTGATATGAATTTCTAAATTGTATAATAATCTGAGATAAACGTAATTTTTCTCTCCATTTGATAATCTCGTTCATCGACTACAGCCCAGGGCTGGGGCTCAGCGCTGCCGAACACCTCGTAGAAAATACCACCAAATATATAGATAGCGGCCGACAAATACCACACTATATTCCACTGATGCCTAACACCCGACCCGTCCTTTAATAATAGGTTTGAAAAATATGTATAAATTTTCAAATATAATTACAAACATGTAATTTGTTTGAGTAAATCACTCATTCACTCACTCCGTGATCGAGTAATACGCCAACAATGAGAGGGCCGGCAAAACCGGTGGCCGACGCCAGCGTATTGGCCACACCGAACACTGTACCCGAATAGTCGGGCGCGTATTCCGCGATCACACCGTATTCACCACCGCTTATGAATCCGTAGACAAACATACTTATCAATAGCAAAGCGATTACGGCGTCGCCATCGCACCCGACAATCGGCACCAGTAGTAGACATAAACCGCAACCAAACATTGCTATTTAATTATGATGTTTTTAAAATAACATTTTGTGAACACCTAGCACACTTTTCCAGTCAAAAATTATTACCTAAACTCTGGAAATTCTTGCGATTCCTGGTCTGCGTGAACCAACCCTTGCGCTTAACCCACGCCGAGAGGGGACTGCCGGACAGTAGGGCTGTGCAAATGACAACATACATGAGCGCATTGAACCAACTGTTGGTATGGATAGCCATTCCGAATATGGAGTCCAGATATTGAGGCATTTTTGTACACAACAGGTAATAACCAAAACTGCCCGTAGACTTGGCCACAGCCGACGCCCAGACCACCCGCGACGTGAACACTGCCCGCCACGGGATCTTCAGATTCTTCACTTTCCTCGAGTTGGGATTATTGGACACAATGTACTTCAGCTCACGTTCGGTGATCTTCGGGTCCTCATCGGGACTGTTGGACACAAAATAACACCAAAACGCGAACCATATTAAGTGCACAAACGATGTCAGATAGAAGACCACTGGCCAGCCGTCCAACCAATCGGTTTTGATGAGATAGCCGGCCAACGGCATAGTGATCACTCCGCCCAGATTGCCGGCAAATGTGGTGCCCGTGAGGGCCATATTCTTCTCCGATTGTGGGAACCATTTGGCAAACATCGAGAAGAGAGACGAGTAGACGACACCGTGAAAGGCGCCGATCAGTACTCGCATGAGTATCACTAGTGAGTAATGAATGTCCGCCAACACCGGTATGAGTGCATTGCATATCGCGGGCACAAACACACCCAAACCGGCCATCCATTTGGCGCCCAACCGGTCCGCGTATGAGCCCAGCAATTGTGTCACTGTATAGCCATAGAAATACGAGCCCAATATAACGCCCTGTATTGACTCGCTCCAGATGTATGTGCCCTAAAATGTACGCAAAATTATTGTTAACATGTTACAAGTATACATGTATAAGATGTTATTGTTGTTAATGATCAGCGATGTAATGATAGTTTACCTTATATTCATGTCCACCGGTTTTATTATAGGTGCTGCTGTCGTAACACAAATCGTCGGTTTGCATGTCATCCCTGTCCGCCTGAATTGTCCTCTCGTCGACCATCGCAATGATGGCAACACTCAGATTGGATCGCAACAGATATACAAGTGTACAGCCAATTGATCCCAAGACACCGACCACTACTCGCGATGGAATCCATGGTTTTTTCGCAGATCTCATGTTATTATGTGTTTTGAATTTTTAAGTTTTTATATTTTTTTGCACTTAAAGAATATTATTTAATAAGCTTTGAAAAAATACATTTCATGTCATATAAAAATATATCATTTTTCATTTATAATGAAAAATTATTATTGAATTTTCTGAAACAAAACATAGGCTTTTATTCTCAGTTTTATTTGTCTTTTATATTATTCTCATAAAAATTATATAATTTCATAATTTAATGATTATTATAGAGTATATGAAAAGAATAATAGGTTTTTATTGAGTTTTATATAATGTTTTTTATTGCAATAACATTAGTGACAGAAAAAAAATGTCATTAAATATTCCTATTGAAGATACAAATGTCTGATAATTAGTATTTCATTCCCATTCCCGTTCCAGACCCGTGTTATAAACACCGATAACAAGTGATAATGATATGGATGAATTTGCCAAACTATCATATACTTACACATACTTTACACTATCATTTTATAGTAGTTTAGGAAGAATTTTGTAGTTCTTTTAGTCTAAACAAAATGAATTAAAATAAGATAATATATTTGATGACATGATTTACACCACAATTAAATTATTATAAATTTAATTGTAATGTGTTTTTGACCAGACACTGAACCAAACCATCGCAAACCAGACTTCACTTGCATTGACTACTATATGGATATAAAATAATAAATGATTATTAAATTGATAATTAAACACAATTCATAATAATATATCAATTAATAATTTAACAACAATTATTCGGTTTCTCAATAAAGCCATTTTGCTATAATATAAAAATAATATTTATTTCATGATTAGTACTAATTAATAAAATGCTCATTTATTGAGAAGTGACCGATAATTGTTGTATAAAACAATTAAATATATAAAAACTATATAAACGAGAAACTCATATAAATGTGAACATAAAATATAAAACTCGATCAATGCTTGGAAAACATGAGCGAAAATACCACCAAAAATACTAAAACACTATTGAATTGAATTATGGTTTCCAATGATAGATAAACTTATATCCGGAGAGGGGTTGGGCTTTGTGTTGTCGGTCACAATAGCCCAGTGCTGGGGCTCAGCTGAGCCCAAGAGCTCAAAGGCCAGTCCACCCAACACATAGATTCCGGCCGACATATACCACAATATATTCCACTGGTTTCGCACATTAGATCCATCCTATCATTAGATATTAATTAAATAATTATACATTTTTAAATAGGTATTCATATAATACAAAAATGATTACATAAGTTATCACTCATAACACATACCCCGTGATCGAGAAGCAGACCAATTATAAGGGGTCCTATGAATCCTGGAGTGGAGGCCAGAGTGTTGGCCACACCGAAGATAGTGCCCGAGTAGTTGAGCGCGTAGTCCGGTATAACTCCATACTCGCCACCCGTTACTGTGCCGTACGATAGCATCGATAATAACATTAGGGCTATGACTGCACCGCTATTGCAGCCCACGATTGGGATTAGCACTAGACTAACAGCTGATCCAAACATCGCTATACAGCATAAAGAAATGGCACCAAAAGAGTTAATATATGATAATAATTAATGGCTTCAAAAACTGACCCAAACTTTGAAAATTCTTGCAATTCCTGGTGTTTGAGAACCAGCCCTTATTGCGGACCCAATTAGATAGAGGGCCGGCACTGATGTTAGTGACACACAGACATCCGTACATCATTGAGTTGAACCAACTGTTGGACTGTATGGATAGGCCAAACACCTGATCGATATAAGTGGGCATTTTGGTGCACAACACAAAGTAGCCAAACTGTCCGCACATTTTGGTCACTATTGAGCCCCAGACGGGTCTCGACGTGAAGATCTCTCTCCAGGGAATCGACAGGTTTTTCACACTTTTTGATTGAGGATTATTTTGGGTAATGTATAGGAGTTCGGCGTCGGATATGTTATTATCTTCTTCGGGGGTATTACTGACCAACAGATGCCATAATACAAACCATAGGATGTGTGCCAATGATGTGAGATAGTAGACATTGGGCCAGCCGTCCAGTAGTCGCATGAGTATCACTAGTGAGTAATGAATGTCCGCCAACACCGGTATGAGTGCATTGCATATCGCGGGCACAAACACACCCAAACCGGCCATCCATTTGGCGCCCAACCGGTCCGCGTATGAGCCCAACAGTTGTGTCACTGTATAGCCGTAGAAATACGAGCCCAGTATTACGCCCTGTATTGACTCGCTCCAGATGTATGTGCCCTAAAGTGTACGCAAAATTATTGTTAACATCATATAACATGTTATTGTTGTTTATGATCAGCGATATAATGATAGCTTGCCTTATATTCATGTCCACCGGTTTTATTATAAGTGCTGCTGTCGTAACACAAGTCGTCGGTTTGCGTGTCATCCCTGTCCGCCTGAATTGTCCTTTCGTCGACCATCGCAATGATGGCAACACTCAGATTGGATCGCAACAGATATACAAGTGTACACCCAATTGATCCCAAGACACCGACCACTACTCGCGATGGAATCCATGGTTTTTTCGCAGATCTCATGTTATTATGTGTTTTGAGTTTTTTTATATGTTTTTATGCTTTTCTTTGCACTTAAAGAATATTATTTAATAAGCTTTGAAATAATACATTTCATGTCATATAAAAGTATATCATTTTTCATTTATAATGAAAAATTATTATTGAATTTTCTGAAACAAAACATAGGCTTTTATTCTCAGTTTTATTTGTCTTTTATATTATTCTCATAAAAATTATATAATTTCATAATTTAATGATTATTATAAAGTATATGAATTATAAAGAATAATAGGTTTTTATTGAGTTTTATATAATGTTTGTTTTATTGCAATAACATTAGTGACAGAGAAAAATGTCATTAAATATTCCTATTGGAGATACAAATGTCTGATAATTAGTATTTCATTCCCATTCCCGTTCCCGACCCGTGTTGTAAACACCGATAACAGGTGATAATGATATAGGTGCATTTGCCAGGTTATTATATACTTACACATACTTTACACTATCATTTTATAGTAGTTTAAGAAGAATTTTGTAGTCCTTTTAGTCTAAACAAAATGAATTCAAATATATTTGATGACATAATTTTAACCACAATTAAATAATTATAAATTTAATTGTAATGTGTTTTTGACCAGACTTTGAACCAAACCATCGCAAACCAGACTTCACTTGTATTGACTACTATATGGATATAAAATAATAAATGATTATTAAATTGATAATTAAACACAATTCATAATAATATATCAATTAATAATTTAACAAAAATTATTCGGTTTCTCAATAAAGACATTTTGCTATAATATAAAAATAATATTTATTTCATGATAACTATTAGTACTAATTAATAAAATGCAAGTTTATTGAGAAGTGACCGATAATTGTTGTATAAAACAATTAAATATATGAAAACTATATAAACGAGAAACTCATATAAAAGTAAACACAAAATATAAAACTCAATGCTTGGAAAACATGAACGAAAATACCACCAAAACTACTAAAACACTATTGAATTGAATTATGGTTTCCAATGATAGATAAACTTATATCCGGAGAGGGGTTGGGCTTTGTGTTGTCGGTCACAATAGCCCAGTGCTGGGGCTCAGCTGAGCCCAAGAGCTCAAAGGCCAGTCCACCCAACACATAGATTGCGGCCGACATATACCACAATATATTCCACTGGTTTCGCACATTAGATCCGTCCTATCATTAGATATTAATTAAATAAATATACATTTTTAAATAGGTATTAATAACTTATAATACAAAAATGATTACATAAGTTATCACTCATAACACATACCCCGTGGTCGAGAAGCAGACCAATTATAAGGGGTCCTATGAATCCTGGAGTGGAGGCCAGAGTGTTGGCCACACCGAAGATAGTGCCCGAGTAGTTGAGCGCGTAGTCCGGTATAACCCCATACTCGCCACCCGTTACTGTGCCGTACGATAGCATTGATAACAACATTAGGGCTATGACTGCACCGCTATTGCAGCCCACGATTGGGATTAGCACTAAACTAAGAGCTGATCCAAACATCGCTATACAATATAAAGAAATGGCACCAAAAGAGTTAATATATGATAGTAATTAATGGATTCAAAAACTGACCCAAACTTTGAAAATTCTTGCAATTCCTGGTGTTTGAAAACCAGCCCTTATTGCGGACCCAATTAGATAGAGGGCCGGCACTGATGTTAGTGACACACAGACATCCGTACATCATTGAGTTGAACCAACTGTTGGACTGTATGGTGAGGCCAAACACCTGATCGATATAAGCTGGCATTTTGGTGCACAACACAAAGTAGCCAAACTGTCCGCACATTTTGGTCACTATTGAGCCCCAGACGGGTCTCGACGTGAAGATCGCTTTCCAGGGAATCGACAGGTTTTTCACACTTTTTGATTGAGGATTATTTTGGGTAATGTATTGGAGTTCGGCGTCGGATATGTTATTATCTTCTTCGGGGGTATTACTGACCAACAGATGCCATAATACAAACCATAGGATGTGTGCCAATGATGTGAGATAGTAGACATTGGGCCAGCCGTCCAGTAGATGCGATTCGCATAGATAGCCAGTCAAAGGCATTGCGATAACACCGCCAAAGTTGCCCAGAAATATGGTGCCACTGATGGCCCACCGCTTCTCCGACTGCGGGAACCACTTATTAAACATCGAGAATAGACACGAATAGACGACACCGTGAAAGGCGCCGATCAGTGCCCGCAATACAATCACCAGCGAGTAGTGAACGCCGGCGGCGATCGGTATGAGTGCGTTGAACAGCGCCGGCATAAACACACCCAAACCGGTCATCCATTTGGCGCCAAATTTGTCCGCATATGAGCCGCAAAACTGTGTCACTGTATAGCCGTAGAAGTACGCGCCCAACACCAGCCCCTGTGCCGATTCG